CTAAAGGAGGGAATGCCAGGGATCGGTGGCCACCCCCAGAAGCTCGGGAGAGGCATGGGAGGATTCTACCCAGGGTCCCAGGGGATGCTCTTCCTGCTGCCACCCTCATTTAGGACTATATCCTCCAGAACCATGAGACAACACCTTTCTGTTGTCTTAAGGCAGCCAGGCTGTGGTCCTTTGTTATTGTAGCTCTAATAAACTAATACAACGTACATTTGTATTTTGAGGACAGTGCTATTCTAACAACTAAGTTCTTACTCCATGCCAGCACTCAGTTCTTCACCCTTACTTGGTAGTGATGTTTGGCCATTAGAATGTAGGCTAGGCTCCAGTAATGGCCCACTTGATGAAGGCATAGAGCTGGGTTACATATGTAGGTTCATATACACAGGATCTTGCCAGACAAACCTTTTCATCATTTCAGTATACGGGAAGATAGACTTTCTAGTAGTATCAGAATCTATATCTTTTCCATCGAAAAGTGGGCATCTAAAACTACCATATAACTTTGGGGCACCAAATAAACCACTCATGACTTTTTTACTCATTAAAATGCATTATGAAATATTTCATACATATCAAAAATACACAAGAGCAGACATTCCTGTGCCCATAGCACACCGTAAGAAACAAACAAACATTACTAAAAGAAGACAAGTCCCAAGGCTCTCCCTTCCATATGGACCTCACCCATCCCTCCACCCCCTCCAGAGGTAGTCACTAACCTCTTCTGGGTGGTTCATCGTTGTTAGTGAGTAGGAAACTTTATGTTCTGGATACCGATTCATTATGAGTTCAATGATTTCCCAGTTTGTGGCTTGTCTTTCTACTTTCTATACTGCCTTTTGCTAAACACAGTTTTCAATTTTAATATAAATAGATTGGAATGTCCTGCGCCATGGGAAGTATGTGTGTATGTTAACCCCAAATTCAAGAGAGGGTAGGCCTTGAGACATTTTTTCCCCACCCAGTGCTCAGGCTGAGATAGACACATTTCCTGTGACCTTTTCTGCAAGCAGGTGGCTTTGCCCATGTTCACCCTGCCACTGAGGGGCAGCTCTACAAGGGCTTCCTCCTGTGCTTCCCAGCCCACTCCCAGTGCTCATGGCTCCAAAGTCGTCTTGACATCAGTTAAACCAAGACTTTAACTTACTGAGATCAGCAAATGCTCCCAGGGCAATGTGACTTCTTGTGGTTTCTTGCTTGTGTTTTAGTCCCTGGAAACACACACTTCCTGTGGTCCAGCACATTCCAAACGATGAAAAAAATGATCACACTAGACCAAGATAGGCAGCACTGAAAAGAGCCTGGTGGACACAAACACCAAATCAATTCAGGAGGAATGCACACTGACCCCAGGGCTTGGGAATTCCCACAGATAAGGGCCCAGAAACACATGAGCTTCAAGTCCATCATGACACAGCAATCATGGACAAGAGCACAGATCTGGACATGCGAACAGAACCGATCATTTGAAATTATGCTTGTGATATTTTACCCAGCATTGTGAAATACTCTGTAGCCCAGCATTTTTTCATAATATCTAGTGGCCAGATACTCCCAGAGACAGAAGTCACTCTCTGTGTTTTAAAAGATAGTTTAGAGGCTCCTGGGTGGCTCAGCCAGTTGAGCATCTGACTCTTGATTTCTGCTCAGGTCATGGTCTCAGAGTTGTGGAAGAGAACCCCAAGTCAGGCTTCATGCTCAGGAGGGAGTCTGCTTCCGCCTCCTCTCTCTACTCCTCCCCCTGCACACTCTCTCTCTCAAATAAATCTTAAAAAAATATATATATATAATTTAGGGGTGCCTAGGTGGCTCAGTCAGTTAAGTGTGACCCTTGATCTCAATTCAGGTCTTGATCTCAGGGTCGTGAGTTCAAGCCCAGCACTGGGCTCCGTGCTGGGCATGAAACCTACTTAAAAAACAAACAAATAAAATAATAATAAAAAAACCTAGCTTAGACATATTCAATTTCACTTTAACTTTCCTTATTTTGTCTTGACAAAAAAAAAAAAGCTTTTAAATTTCCTATTTGCCGAGCTGTTTTTTCCTTAAAGATTTTATATTTATTTATTTATTTACGAGAGAGAGAGAGAGAGAGAGAGAAAGCCCGCGCATGAGCAGGGGGAGAAGGAGAGGAGGAGGGAGAGGGAACCCAAAGCAGACTCCTTGTTGAGCATGGAGCCTGACTGGGGGCTCGATCCCTTGATGGCAAGATCATGACCCAAGCAGAAACCAGGAGTCGGATGCTTAGCCCACTGTGCCACCCAGGCACCCCCTGAGCTAGCTACCTGTTTTTATTCTCTCTTATTAAAAAGAAAATTATCTTACTAAGAGTAAAGCATACTGGGGTGCCTGGGTGGCTGAGTCATTAAACGTCTGCCTTCGGCTCAGGTCATGATCCCAGGGTCCTGGGATGGAGCCCCACATCGGGCTCCCTGCTCAGCGAGAAGCCTGCTTCTCCCTCTCCCGCTCTCCCTGCTTGTGTTCCCTCTCTCACTTTGTCTCTGTCAAATAAATAAATAAAATCTTAAAAAAAAAAAAAAAGAGTAAAGCATACTATATATGGCTGTCCTAAATAGTATTTAGGGGCACCTGGGTGGCTCAGTCTGTTAAGCATCTGACTCTTGGTTTCGGCTCAGGTCATGATCTCAGTGATTGAGCCCCAAGTTGAGCTCTGTGCTCAGCACGGAGTTGGCTTGAGAATCTCTCTCCCACTCCCTCTGCCCTTCCCACTCATGCTCTCTCTCTCTAAAATAAACAAATAAATCTTTAAAACAACAACAACATTTTAAAACCACAGTGTTATTGAAAGCTTTGTGAAAAAACAAAAAGGAAAAAACCATGCTTCATTTGAAATACATAATTAAGTTGTATTAATTTACATAGAAAAATGGCATAACACATTTCCTTTGGGGCTTAAAAGGAATGTATGTCTTAGACAAGAATGCAGAGTTAGGGCATGTGTGAAGATGGCAGGAACCTGAATATTTTTATTTTCCTTTTTGGCCTAAACACCTCTCAGTTCAGGGTTGGGTCCAAGTGATGCTCCATTTTCTGGTTATCTTGAAAAGAAGTGCATTTTGCCCTTAGGAGACTGAAGGGGGATCTGGAGTAATTTAGATAGACCTTTATGTGATTAATAAGGAAATATAGGCCAACATAAGTTTTTGAGGTTTTTGTCTAAAAACTGCTGAGTTAGTACTTACTTGCTAGGCAAGGTGATGGGTGCAGGAGAAATGAAATCTAGTCTACAGTTTTCCACCTGATTAGAAAACACAATCTACTCCCCTCTCCACAAATACTCGTGAAAACAGGGACCCTCTCTCTGGCCTCTGCCTCTTTGATTTTTCTGCAAAACCTTATATTTGCCTCTTGCACTTAGCCCTGTTCTTTCTGTTTCCTTTGTTCTAATGTAGTGTAGGCCCACCTCGACTGCCCTACCTCAGTACATTAGCTTCCTAGTAGGTCCTGCTCCCTCCAGGCTTAGACAGTGGTCTTCCACCTTGTTGCCACAGATACCTTCACACACAGTCGTGTTGCTTCTTTGAAAACCGCCAACATGGCTACCCCCACTCACTGTGTCTCTTCTCCAGGGCTCCCCTCAACCTATGTGCCCTCTCCTCAAGCCACTCTGGCTGGTGACCACACTGGTCCTAATGGGGTTGGCCTCTTCGTTTTACTCTTGAAGCTGACATTTTATTCTTGAGGCTTCACAACGCAAGCCTGAACTTTCCGCTGGAGACAACAGAGTGAATTTGGTTTGAGTAAAGGATAATTCTGTTGGGGCACCTGGGTGGCTCAGTGGGTTAAGTGTCTGCCTTTTGCTCAGGTCATGATTCCAGGGTCCTGGGACAAAGCCCTGTGTCTGGCTCCCTGCTCAACGGGGAGCCTGCTTCTCCCTCTCCTTCTGCCCCCCCCCCACTTGTTCTCTCTCAAATAAATAAAAAAAATTTTAAAGGATAATTCTGTTATCAAGGTTTTCCCTTCTCCTGGAGAGACCAAGGACCTCTTTCTCATTATTATCCTAAGACCTCAGATTGTCCCTTTGCCTCCCTGGATGACTGGTGGCAGGTCGCATTGCATTCACAGGGCTCCAGAGTCCCCTTTGGTAAGGGTCTGGGGGGACCTGTTTCTGCCCATTTATCTTGCCACCTGAGTAAGTCACTTAGCCCGAGTGGAGTCAGAGGAGAGGGCACGTTCATCTTCTAGGAAGCACTGGACAAGGCCGGAGTGGGGGTAGGGGGGACACGATCAATAACGGAGCAAGGGGTCAGTAACTACGCCTGCTCCGCTATTACGCCTTACTTTGGGGGAAGTCTTTGCACTGCAAGCCATAAACATTCAGGTAAAATAAAGCTTGCATTGCTGACACGCCTAGCTCCGGCACTGGTGCTGTCATGGGCTCAAAGCGTGCCCACGGTCCCGCCCGAGGTGGCCTGCAGGATGGGCAATGAACAGCGGTGACCACTGCTGACCGTGTGCATCGCAGGACGGGGTCCGACCTGACGCCGCCCAGTGGCAGCCGAGAGAGGCCGGAGGAGCGCTGAGGCCCGGACCTAACGTGCCGCGGGGCCACCAAACCGACGACTTTGGGTCAGGGCCAGAGGTCGCCAGGGCACGGTCTGAAGTCTGTGCATCTGGGGAAGAGACACTGGCAAACGTCGCGCCCGCCCTCCGGAGACAACGACACCGCAAGTTCACTCCGACCGCCACGCGCGCAGCCAGCCCCGGGGCTGCTCGGGCGAGAATCGCCCCGCCGCTGATTGGCAGCTCCACCTGGGGGCGTGGCCTGGGGCGCCGACCTGGAAGCCCGGAGGCGGCTGGGATGCGCCCGCAGAACCCTGCCTCTGTCTCGCTCCGCCCCGCCCCCGTGCCTGCCTGTGATTGGTGCCCTCGGCCCAGGGGCGGGACCTCGGCTGTGGAGCGCGCGCGGCGGTGGCGTCAGTCCGGGTGCGACCTCCGGCCCGTCCGGCCCTCGCCCGGCGCTGCCCCGTGTCACCGTCATGGCGGCCTCGCTTATGCTGCGGCAAGGACGGTCCGGGGCGCTGAAGGTAAAGGGGAGCCGGGCCGGCGGGGGGAGGCCGTGTAGGGCCAGGACCGTCTCCGGCCGTGCTGGTGGGCCGTTGACCCGCCTCCCGGGTGCAGGAGAGGACCCCGGGCCGGAGCAAGTGGCCGTGGGGCGGGCCTGGGGGGCCGGCGAGCGGGTACTGAGCCCGGCCACCTGGGGAGCGCCAGGCGCGCGGGCCCGGGGCCACGGGGCAGGTGCGAGGGCTCCCAGGTGTCAGAACCGTTAAGGACAGCGTCTTCACCTCTTGTGTAGCCAGGAGAGGAGGGAACTTTCAGGTACCTGGTTCACCTGGTGACCTACCGGGCAGCCACTGGGAAGTCAGCTTACATTACCCCATCTGTGAAAAGAGGAAGGAAGAAGGGCTTTCTTTCTCCATATAGAAAAAAATGTAAGGCCACTTAACTGTAAAATTTTAAACGGCTCTTATGACGAAAGCACCAAACTGTTCATTGCAAAGTAGAGTATAGATAGATAGGGGTTATCTGTTTGAGAGAGTGCACCATTTAGTCCTTGAAATACCTGCTTCCCAATGTTTGTTTCAGCTCTCATGGGTACACATAGACGCGTACTTGCAGTCATAAACATAGAAAACATATTCTTACCTTCACATATATAGGAGAGGCACCTCTGTTCTTTATGCAGCTTCTAGAAAAGTGCTCAGCACACAGCAGCTGTTAGTAAATACATGCTGATTGAATTATCAGTTTATAAGATGTTTGCCACTTACGATATAAACAGTTCAGAAGCAGTTATTATTCGTCTACATCATTATTAACAGCCAAATAGTATTTCTTCTACTTAGCGTTCTAAGTATAGGAAAACATTTAAAAAAAAAAAAATCAGAGTATTTTTTGGTTAATAGGTAATGGGGGACTACAAAAAGTGTGCACGGGAGAAGCTCTGTTTTGACTTTTGTTGGAGTTACATAGTTAATAATGACTGTCCTGTGGGGGTTTTTTTTGCAGCTTTTTTTGTATTTTCCAAAATTTCCATAACACATATGTTATGGAAATTGTAATAACTATGAGAAATATACCATATGAATGCTTAGTAATAACACATAGTATTTCTGTGTTGTAACAGCTTCTAAATGGCATTACTCTAAAATGTCCATATTTGTTAATTCTTCTGTCAGACTATGCTCCTAGAAGCACGAGTGTTTCGAGGACTTGCTTCCACGGTTTGTCTCTCTGCAGAATCAGGGAAGAGTGAAAAGGGACTGCCACCGAATTCCAAGAGGCAAAGTCCACCAAAAAGTAAGATTTTAATGATAGTCATAAGGGAAAGAGAATGCAAAGCAAATAAATCAATGTGCTTTCCAAGCATGAAAAGTTTTACTAACTACGTAATTTAATTCTTCATTTCCAGCAGTGTCCAGATTATAATTAGACATAAGATCTGTGATGGATTTTAGATCAAACATATCAGTCATGTAACAGCCTTTTGACTCGATACTTAGCCCTGAACCAGTTCTGCTTGTGTTTTCTAAGTGCCATACTCTAACACGCAGCAAGGGGATGCAGAGTGCAAAGGCGGGGGCATTTAGATGGCCCAAGTACAGATCCCACACTCCCGTGGTAGCTCTGAACCCCACCTTGCTTTTCTTCCCCCAGTTGTGGCTTTTCTCAGTGTCTCTGAAACTCATATGTGGCTTCCCAGACTTTGGTTGGCCATGGTCCAGGGTTGCAGGCATCTTTTTATGACCGTGGAGAGGGAGTTAAGGGCAGGCACCGTTCTCCATTACAACTTACTTTGATGAAGCATGATGTCTGATCTGTTTCCAGCTCTTCATAGTCATTTTGATTGTTATTGCTGGTTTTTACTTTTTTTTCCCTCCTGAATACCAATGTAGCATATCCTCGGGGAAGGAAAATAGAAAGTGTGACAGTATATTTTAAATACTTTTGGGAATTTTATTTTCTACTCCCTGTTCATTACTAATAACTGATTATAGGGGCATCTGGCTGGCTCAGTCCCCGGAGCATGCGACTCTCCATCTCCAGGTTGTGAATTTGAGCCCCACATTGGGTGTAGAGATTACTCAAAATCTTAAAAAATAAAAAAAATGAAAGATGTGTATGTACAGTCTCTGCAAACCCTTGACTTTTATGTGTGGTTCAGAATGATAATTTGAGCTTGTCTTATTTTCATCATTTACCATTTCCTCAGTTTGAATATTTGAAAGTGCTTAGATATTTTTTGTTTGATCCCTCCTTGGAGTGCACACAAAACCATTGGTAGCATTTAAAATATTGGCCCTGTTGAGTGTGCTAGCCCCTGACTGCCTTTCATGCCCCATCGATTGAGGAAACACCTCTTCTTGATGGTGGCTCATTGCCTGGAGGCCTGAATTCAGCTCAGGCGAATTCTGTTTAACTAGGAATGTTCTATTCTGTTTAACTCAGTCCAGTTTTAAATCCAGTGTTCTTTCTTTCTTTTTTTTAATGAAACCAGAGGGCCATGATCACTCCTAAAAAAACGTTTACAGCCAGAATGTCAGTTCAATTCTGCATTATGCCTGGCACATTTTTGACATTCTTTCAGTGTTTACTGATGATTAGTTGCATCTCATTACTAATGTTATCGCTGCCTTTGGTGAATTTTAGTCTTGTGTCTGCACTCCTACCTCCCGGGTTTATGACACTGAACTAATGGATATGTGACTGGAATGGGGTGCTGGGTCATGGGACAGTTTTGGGTGCAGTTATGAGAAGGGAGCACTGAGCTGTGAGTTGGGCTTGGACCTGTGTCGTTTCCACCCCTGGACGCAGTACCTCCCTGCCAGAGTGGGGCCAGCGAGAGATGCGCGTGCGTGCTGTGTCCATCATAGAGTGCTTCCAGGTGGGAAGACAGGATCCAGAACCACACTGTCTCTAATGCACATTACATTTGTATCCCATAATTTAAAAATAATTTTAGGGGCGGCTGCGTGGCTCAGTCGTTAAGCGGCTGCCTTCAGGTCAGGTCATGATCCCAGGATCCTGAGATCGAGCCCCACGTTGGGCTCTCTGCTCGGCAGGAAGCCTGCTTCTCCCTCTCCCACTCCCCCTGCTGGTGTTCCCTCTCTCACTGTCTCTCTCTCTCCGTGTCAAATAAATAAATAAAATCTTTAAAAAAAAAAAGACAAAAACTATCATTATAAAAAAATAATAATAATTTTAATCCGTGTATGAAGATGCTTCTAAATTGACGTGTGCAGGTCTCCATGTCTATCCGAAGTGTCAGTACTTAAAAGATCAGTTGAGTGTCAGATGCACAAATGCTTTTTGCCTGCTAGTGGCACATTGCCAGCTTAAACCTCTGTCCACTCTCAGTGGCTTTGGAAGCTCTAACAGAAGTTGCCTGCATGCAGACCGGTCCCTAAGCACTCACCCTTGGGGTCCCATCTCTAGTCAAAGGGTCTGCCTCAGAGTCAGGACCTGGGTATTACAGAACGCCTTCTGCCTCATTCTGTCTGGCGCTCCAGCTTCTTGTGGCACATGCTTCCTTCCTGAGGGGACCCACCAGTGCAGATATGAGTCCAGGGTCTCCTGGTAGGTCCCCCCTCCCGCAGAACTGCCTGGCTCCCTGGCTTTGATGTTCCTTTGAATCCAGGCACTGGGCTGAGTTTTGCCACAATCAGTATTAAATCATTGACTAAATAACTTCTGTGTCGCTTTTTAAAGAATCTGTCAGGAAGCCGAAGTTAATTATCCATTTCAAGTCCTTATTTCAGTTTGAAAAGTGAGGAATCTTTGGAAATAGGGATTCTTTGTATTTAATCCTAACCAATGGTGCCAGCCACTGTTCCAAGCACTCCATATAGTCTCTTGTCTGGTCCTCACAACCCCGTGAGTCGATGCTAGTAGTATCCCTGCAACGTAGATGAGAAAATAGAGGGAAGAGAGCCGTGAGCTGCTCAGGGTCACACATACGTCAGCAGCGGAGCCGGTCATGAACCCAGGTAGTAAGGCCTCGCTGTCTGTGGTTTTAATCACTGTGCTGTCTTGCCTCTGAAAAAAATCTAGATTCTCATGTATTCATTAAAAAAAACAACAACAAACTTTATAGCCCTGTACATCTAAAAAAAAGTTTTAATTAGCATATAAAATTTGAGTAACTGATTCCTTCATGTTGTCAAAATGTGCGTTTGTTTTTGAATATGCTTTGTTTTCAAGATTAGTTTTGTGACCCAGTGAGAAGATACGGAAGAATTCTAAGGTGGCTAATCCATTTCAAACACCAATAGTCATTTTTGCTTTAATAAGGAGACCACTAGGGGTGCCCGGCTGGCTCAGTCAGGGAGCACACGACTCTTGATCTCAGGCTTGTAAGTTCGAACCTCACATTGGGTGTAGAGGTTATACTTAAAAATAAAATCTTTAAAAAAAAAAAAGCTTTGATAGGGAGACCACTAAAAACTTGAAGGTCATGCCCTCACTTTTCAACTGAGCAGAAAAGAGATTCGGGAAATGTTAAGTTCTGTTTTGAGAGGAGATAGAGAAGCAGTACGACTTCTCTCGGTGCTGTTACTAGAGTTTGTAGGCCTTTATTGTGCGTAGGCTGCTATGGTCATTTATATGACCTCTGACAGAGTAGAAACAGTCCACAAAAGTCCCCGGCTTGTGCTGTGAGACAGGCCTCCGCGGCTAGACTTATTTACGTAGCGTTGTGCTTTCATACAATTTTCAAGGAAGGTCAGCATCAAACTAAAACATAGAGTGTATGGGCACCCTGCCTCTAGATAGAAGTAAGAGACTTCATGTAAACAAACCAGTAGGGTCATAAAGTGAGAGCCCTCGTTCCTCTACATGAGAGGGCTGTTTTCGGGCGACCTCATTCTGCGCTGCATGGTTGGGTGCAGACTCTGGAACAGCGGTTACTAGTGGCAGCTCCAGATCATTGCGGCAACTTCCTTCTGAGTCACAAGAGGACGCTGGGTCCAGGCTGCAGAGGGTCAGAAATTGGCTGTCATTAAAAAGCAAAATGCAGGGGCACCTGGGTGGCTCAGTCAGTGAAGCATCTGCCTTCAGCTCAGGTCATGATTTCGGGGTCCTGGGATCAAGTCCCCACATCAGGCTCCTTGCTCAGCGGGAATCTGCTTCTCCCTTTCCCTCTGCCCCTCCCCCCAGCTCGTGCTCTCTTGCTCTCTTTCTCTCTCAAATAAATAAAATATTTTTTAAAAAAACACAAAATGCGGAGCACCTGGGTGGCTCAGTCGTTTAGCGTCTGCCTTTGGCTCGGGTCATGATCCCAGGGTCCTGGGATCGAGCCCTGCATTGGGGTCCCTGCTCTGCGGGAAGCCTGCTTCTCCCTCTCGCACTCCCCCTGCTTGTGTTCCCTCTCTCGCTGTGTCTCTGTCAAATAAATAAATAAAATCTAAAAAAAAGGCAAAATGCATTACTCTGTTTTAGTCTATTAGCCTTTCTGTGAAATTCTTCCAATAATTTAGCATGAATAAAAGAAACCTTAAAACATTCTTATTTCATATAAGAGAAATTTCGTTTTCAAACAGAATTTCTAAATGATATCACTGTTGATCCCATTTGAAATTTTCTTTCCATTTTCAGTAGATGATAAACCAACCTATAATGTGATTTTGATAACTTATTTGCAGTTTTTTAAATCTCCACAACATATTTGGGAAGATTCAGGCATTGTAACTTTTCTATTCAAAGCAGCCTATCTAAGATGCACCTTATTTTAACTTAATTTTTCATACTTGGAAAATTTAGGCTCCACATTAAACATGGATGAATGATAGAGGTGAGCAGGCTGGGGGGTGTGGGGGCCACTAGGAGTTTCTGAGCTGATTCAGGTAGGGTTTAGAGAGAGAGAAAGTTCAAGTGCACGTACACTCCTTTGCCTCATTTTTATGTTTAATGTGATCCTGGAGTTCTGTGAGTTCTGAGAGCTGCATCAGCACCTGCTCGGCATTCAGAATGCAGATTCTGGGCTGGTAGGTAGCCACAGCCTCAGACGTGGCATGGAGGAGGTGGTGCTGCTGGCGCTGCTGGTGCTGGGGGAGATGATGGCGGAGGGGGAGGTGATGGTGGAGGTGGTGGTGCAGGTAGTAGGTGTGAACAGTCACTCTGCTCTGGCTGTGCCGTCCTGCCCTTTCACACTGCCCATTTTCCTCTCTGTGGCCCATTTCTGATTTGTGGTTACTCCTCCATTTTCTGTGATCATTTCCTGTCATTCTGTCACGTGCAGGTCCCTGAGCTCAGAAAACAGTGAGAACCTGTTGTGGATACTGTTAAGACAGTGAAGTTAGGAATACATTTTTTCCACTTGAGAGAAGTAGGATTGAAATCTCTTCAGTATCAAATATACTCCTATCAAATACACAGAGTCAAATAAAGACTCTGCATTTGGAGTTTGCTCATCTATAATGTATTTTTAAGATTTGCTTTAGATTTGGAAAGTAATTTTAACTTAGAAACACTTGTCTTATATTTTTCCTCAAATCTGTATGGTTAGAAAAGATTTACCACCTGAGAAAATTGAATGAAGTTGGTTCTAATCAATGTACTGTGCAATTTTATTTTTTTAATAATTGACTCTACAAAATGCAAGCGTTTTATATTAGCAATTATTTTTTTTTTCAGCTTAAAACCTGTTGTTTCCAACGATATACACATCAAGTTATTTTAGACTTTTTTGGTCGTGTAATACTTTTCTCTGGCTAAAGAAGTCCCCAAGTGACTTGTGATTTTGAAGGACTTCTCTTCCCCATGGGGCACGTTCATTTGAACGAAATTCTTCCCACCCCATGACCCCCCCAGCACTCACACACATGCATGCACACACCCAAATGATGCAAACCAGGCTCTTGTCCCTATTCTCTGCTGTTTTGTTCAGAAAGTTCAGGCTCATCCGGTATGGATGACTTTCTTAATATTTGAGAAGCATCAGTTTTTTAAAGATTTAAGAAATTACACATTTTTTTTTTTAAGATTTTATTTATTTATTTGAGAGAGAGTGAGAAACTGCATGAGAGGGGAGAGGGTCAGAGGGAAAAGCAGGCTACCCAATGTGGGACTTGATCCCAGGACTCCGGGATCATGACCTGAGCCGAAGGCAGTCGCTTAACCAACGAGCCACCCAGGCGCCCCAAGAAATTACACATTTCTAAAACCTGCAGTAGTCATTTGGAAATATCTTATAGTTTAACCATTTGAAATTTGGATGAAGTAGTAGATTAAAAATTATCAAAAGAAGCTCTCATTGTGAAAAGTGGAGACAAGTTTGTTACTTCTGTTGGTAAAAATCCCTGTTTTTAAATTTTTCAGCTGCAAAGAAAAACATACATTTCTTACTGTTCTCTTGTCATGTGGCTTGGCTTTGACCTAAGAATGCATTCCTGTAGAACATTTCTTAGGATAATTACATTGAAGATATTATAATAACAAGCTGTTAGTAATGAAATGTCTGTGACTTACTGATGAATTTAGATTGTTTTACAAAACATTGAAAATAATATTCCTCTTTATGCCATTTCCTAGATGTAGTGGAACCAAAGGAGAGGGGCAAGCTACTAGCCACCCCAACAGCAGCTGAATTGTCCAAAAACTTGTCTTCACCCAGTTCTTACCCATCAGTTGTGAATCAGGGCGGGATGGTAGCTAGCCCTCGCCCCAGTCCCGATGATAGCATGCTATTCACAGATGAAGGGGTTCCAGAGTTTTTGTCAAGAAAGACTTTGGTAGAGTTTCCTCAGAAAGTTCTGCCTCCATTCAGAAAACAGGGTTCGGATTCAGAAGCTCTTCAGGAGAACAGGGGAGGGACAGATGATTCATCATCCTGTTCGTCTAGCTCCTCCGACTCAGAGTCTGACGGGGAGGGTGGCGCCTCCAAGGTTGATCCTCAGATGATGAGCAAGGGCAAAGGAGGGCTTCCCAAACCGCAGGCCTCCCGTTCCCTTGAAAACAGAGCCTCCAAAATTGCAACATCAGCCAAAGAGAAGACCCAGTCACAGCAGGGACAGCCAGACCTCAGCCCTCCAGAGAGACCCCGTCAGGCAAAGAAGAAAGGGCCCACTGTGAAGCCATTAGAGGACAGAAAAGACACTAAACCAAAAACCACAACACCCAAGTTACAAGCAGATAAAGAGTTTATGAAGCAAAACGTCAAGGAAAAACAAATGGAGAAAATATTTAGATCAAGTGAAAATGATAAAGGAAGTCAAATGCCACTTGAAGTTAAAAAAGTCTTACCTGACCATATAAAATCCGGATCGTCTACACAGCCGGCTGGCAGCCCGGCGCCCATGCAGCTGTCTGAAGGAACCAAAGAAACTAGAGCGGCAGGACAGCTGCACGCACCTCCCGCGACCAGAGAAAGGCATTTGGAAAAACAGGAATTGGAACATGGTGGAGAGGTGGCATTTCCCCCCGTTGACAAGGAAAGTTCGGGAAAGCAGGTAACAGGAGGAATCCTGAAGGCTAAAGAGATTTTGGAAGACCAGGTACCAGGACGACATCTGAAGCCAGGTCCTGTTCCAAAGGAAGGCGTTTTCGAGGAAAAGACCACAGGGCTGGAGCTTGAGGGAAAAGAGATGGCTGTAGAGTCGGCGCCTCGCCTGGAAGAGCCGGACGACACACAGGGTACAGCTTGACTTGTGCTCCCTTGAGAACCTCCTTTCCTGTGCGGGTGGCGGGCCGCTGAAGGCCCATGCGGTGTGCAGAAGCTTCCGGGTAGTCAGCCCCCGCGGTAGAAGCCGGCCCGTCCCGGCGGTCTCAGATAAGCGGAGGATGCCGTGATTGTGAATACTGCACACCTTAGCACAGCCCCCGGGGCACTTTCCGCTTACTCTGCAGGGGAAGTGGGAGCGCTGGGTCATTTCTGCCCCCCGGCACCTCCCTTAACTTTGGAGGCGGTCCACGGGTCCGTTTCGTGACCCTGCCGAGCCTCTTCTCCGCGGAAGGGGTCCCGGGTGACTCCCTTGGGCCGTGCTCGCCCTGCTGGGAGGGTCTGAAGGGCTGCTGCTCAGAGCCTTGCCTTCACGTTCCTTAGTGAGGGGCAATCCACGTGTTAGGAATTAGAGCAGGGAGAGACCCAGGGGCAGCCCGGAGCCGCTTCCCTCTTCTTTCCACCGGCTGACGTTTCCTTCTCTGATTCACCCGGAAAACACAGCGGGCTGCTTTGTTTTTCCGTACTGAATTTTTAGGAAGGGCTATTTTGCTGTCATAAACGTTTAGTATTTTATTCCTTTTTTGCTGCCCTCTGGCGGTGCACGGTTATAGAGGGCGTGTGCAGTCGGTGGGTCCTGGCGACGCAGGGAGGGCGGGCTCCGCAGAATGCCTGTAAAATGCATTACTAACAAACCCGGCCCCTTCCTGTTTGCTCCGTAGGCTTCCCAAAGCCTCCCCCTTGCCTGATGTTATGTGGTCGTTGTTACTGGTTACTGGTTATGTGGACAGAATTTATGTGTTTTCTTCCCTCCGTTTTCTCCCTCTTTCATTAATATGCAAAAGTGCCTGTGCTTGCCAGACTGGTCAAAACATCAAGAACCGCATTTCCTGATTCTACTGCTTCAGTCATTCTGCTATGAACTGCAGAGGAAAGCCCAAACCTTTAGGATGATGACAGGGTTTTCACTTGCAAACCATTTGAAAACAGTTTGCTTCTAATTTTTCACGGACGTGTTCTTTTGCCCGCATCCCTTAGGCCCTTCGGAGGCTAAGGCCACCACCGCCCTGGAGCACAGCCCATTGGCGGGTGTCCCTAAGTCTTCCTGCTCCCGCTGCCTGGCCCCTTGCCCTCTGGCGGGATTGATTTTCATACAAGTTTTCTGAACCCACATTTCCCTTCAGTTAACACCATTCCTGTATCTGCTTTGAAGATGTCTCTACCCCGCATTGGGAGTCTCTGCTCCTTGAGATTGGGAAGATGTCAGGTCTGAATAAGACATCGTTTTTGTTTAATACAACTGAACACATGAAAAACAAAGCTTTTGATATGAATTCAAATAGGGAAACTATTTAGGTTATTTTCTATGCAGCCCATGTAGAAGTTGGGAGAGTCCCGGTGGCAGAAGTCTAGGATCAGCAGGCACATCCCCCGGCCCTCCTCCTGCCACCCCCACAAGCCACACCTCGCGCCTCTTACCGCCTGGCCTGGGGCAGGAGAGCTGCATTTCTTTTGCTTCAACCACACACTTTTAGTTCTACCATTACCAAACATTCTTTGTCCACGAAAAGAAATAAAATCTAGTTTGTATATTTTAATCTGAATCTAAAGTATACCAACAACTTTTTCAGAAAAAGTTGAAAACTATACACCTCATTTCCATTTCCCCTTAAGTTGGTTGTTATGTTATTACAACAGGGCCTATCTAATTTTCTTGTATCCAGAGACTTAACAGGCTTAACTTAAAGCTCCTGCTTTCTGTAAATGGTTTATTTCTAATAGATCTGGGTTTTTTTTCTTGCATCTTTAAGTGGCCTGATAGTCCCTTCATAACTGTTATAGGCATTTTCAAAATTCTGCCCAGTACAGGACCTAAAAGTATACAAAGTCAGGTATTAGGACACATCGTAAGAACCATCCCATTGCCCCCATTGTGAAGGCTGTGTGATTTAGAATACATTTTCCTTGATTTGGCTTCTGAAGATCCTGTTGCTTTCACGGGCTTTTCTAATTAGTTTATTTCAGGCAGGGTGTGTGAAGAATGTTGGCTGCACGGGTGTCTGTGAGCTGTGCCCTGCGGAGGCACTTTCTGTCCCGTGTTCTCACAGGCCTTGCTTTTCCCTACAGAGCCTGCTCAAGCCGCTGGCCTTGCTGAGCCGTTCGACAACACCACGTACAGGAACCTCCAGCACCATGACTACACCCCGTACACCTTCTTAGACCTCAACCTGGACCTGTCCAAGTTCAGGATGCCTCAGCCCTCTTCAGGACGGGAGTCACCTCGCCACTGAGCGCTCCCTTGAGAGAGTAAACCTTCCCCTGTCTGGGCAGCAGAAATAAAATCCGCTCCAGTCATGAGGCCTGACGTGTATAATCGGTGTCCCTTTTACCGTGAACAGTGAATTAACAACACTTCTCTGTTTATTCAGCATGCATTTAGAAACATCTGTACACAAGGATTTTTCTCCCATGATCCATAACCTCAGAGAATTGTAGGCAGTTTCCATCACTGTGATCCCACTGTGTCGAGTCCCTGGCCAGTTTAACATTAATCTGCTTCACCAGCTAGGTGTTGAGAAATGTAATGATAACTTCTAATTTGGTAGGCCTAGTTCTTGATAAAGCAAAATTAGGAGTTTTACTAATTTTAACTACTGTACTGCAAAGGAATTAAACGTTAAATATAGCACTTTATTGTTAGAGAAGGAACAGAGTCCTTCTGTTCACCTGAATTAAGTATGAGATGTAAACTCAGGGAAGTTTTCAGCGGTGGGATTAGGGAGGTGAATGTTCCGTAGGGTCCAGCAGAGCAGCTCTGCCCCCAGATGGCCACCGCAGACTCTGAGCCATTTTGGCTACAAAGGGTTTCTGAGTTGGCTGAGTGACCTTCTGACGCTCATGATAACGTCACTCATGTGCCTGGGGGTGTAAGTGGTGTGAACAGGCTCAGATGTGCGTCGGGCGGTGTGTCTGCACTCGCACCCTGTGGGGACGAAATAAACCATCTGGGAGAAAGTTACAGGTGGAGGTGAGGTTACTCCCCGACTGCAAGAGAGGACGTGGAAGATGGGCCCATTAGGGCAGCAGAGCTCCACCAGGAGGGGAGGCCCCGCCCCCTCTTCAAATCCGTGTCATTTTCATGGTCCGCTTTGTTCTCCGGCGGCCCTTGTTGATGTGCCCAAACTGTATTATCTCACTTCGTTTGAATTCTGGTCCTTGGCCTCTAGTCCGTTTACAGCAAACAATATAGTGTATTTGTAATCGCGTCTCAAATTTCTGTAATCCCGCATTGCTTATGTTAGTCCCGGTAAGAGCAGCGAAATTGAAGACTGCTATTGTGATCATCTGCCTCCGTCTTACTGCTTCTGCGGGCTCAGCACCTCGGTGAGATTCTCCTCATCACATTTTTTTATTGTAAAAGTAGTAAAACCATGTTACCCAATAGACGGGAAATGGGAAATACCGGGAATCCCCCTTGCCACCCTGCCCCCGCTCCGTTACTAACATTTCCCACGCCTGCCCGCTGGTGGGGGCTGCGGATGAACGGCGCCCTACAGCACAGAGCTTGCTCTCCTGCTGGGTGTTTTCGTGCCCCAGCCGGCTTCACAAACTGGCCACAGGACGCACGTGGGGCGTGCGGCGGGGAGGTGGAGTGCAGAGCCAAGGTGCCTTTCCCTGGCCTGCTCCCGCCACGGGGGCCAGGACTCTTGACCGAACAATGAGTAGGAGCGTATCTTCATTTGCATGAAGTTTTTCCCTGGTCATTTTCCAGTCTCTCCGGGAGCTGGTTCCCTCTCCGACCTCCAAAAACCCTGGAGAGCCAACACGAGGGGCGCTGACCACGGCTGTGTGTGTAGGACCGGCTGTGGTGCGTCCACTGGTAGCACGACAGTGGCCCACGGAGCCCAGGTTCTGGACCCAGGCTGTTCCCCTGCTCTCTTAGCCCTGCCAGAAACGTCTGTGTGACCGTAACTCATGCCGTGTTCTGTATTGTTTCCTTAAGATGGATTTCCAGAAACCGATCCGATGAATCATGTGATTCATAAACATTTGTATTGCTTCAGTTTACACAAGGTTTTAAATTTTTTCCTTATTTTTTAAGGTTTTATTGAGAAAAAGAGCAAGCAGGGGGGGAAGGGCAGAGGGAGAGAGAATCTCAAGCGGACTCTCCCTGAGCGCAGAGCCTAATGAGCTTGAGCAGGGGGGTGGGGGCTCGATCCCATGACCCTGAGATCATGACCTGAGCTGAAGCCAAAAAGCCTTCGCTCAACAACTGAGCCACCCAGGCACCCCTCCACAAGGCTCTTAAACCAGTTTAATAGGTTTGAGTTAAATAAGGTAATTATTTTATTTCCTTTTGGATTTTCCCTGTCACCTGAACTGTGGCATCTTTCTGGATGTTTGCTCTCTTCCACCTATTCAAATAAACACCCTTGGCCTGAGAGGATAGTACCTACAGCAGAAGTCCAGCCCTCGCTTATTACGTATTCTTGTCCTAATGTTGACTGGCAGCTGGTTGATAACTGAAACCCAGCAGAGGATTGTGTGGCTTTTCTGATTCTGCTTCCAAGCATATGCTTCATGTGTGAATGGTTGGTGTTCTCCTGCCTGTCTCTCAGCTAGCATCCAAAACCCAAGGAAGTGCTCCTCAGCTCACAACTGGCCACCCAGCGCCATCCTGCAGCGGCCCCATACCTTGCACGTGGGAAGCCATCAGACGTTTGTAAAATGAGTTCACCAACACCACAGAGCTTACTGCACCCTCAGGCCTGACACAGAGCGTGTCTTCCTGGAAAGCAGAGCCGGCAGGTTTTCTGTGAAGGCCAGGAGAGGGAATATTTGGGGGCTTGCCCCATGCAGTCACTGCTGTGTGGTCTTGTGTTCTTAAAATCCTTTCAAAAATGTGAAACCCATTCTCAGCTGTAGGCCTTTTGCAATGGCAGAGAGCAGGGTTTTCCGAGGGGCCACAGTATTGAAGGGGCTGCCAGAGGCTAACTTAACACAAGGGTGGGCTAGACACTCAGATCGCTGGTATGTATCAGGTGCTCAGCACCCAACTTCTACCGCCTCCTCTCCCTGACCACCGTCCCTTTTCCCTCCACCCGTCTATTATTCTACAAAGGATCTGAAACACACACTAAGGTCTAAGAATTAACTGCTAACATGGGATTCCTTCCAGAGCGATGTCACTCTCCTGGGCCTGTAACCAGCACTGGTCTAAATGCCCACCGTATGCTAGGCCTGGGTCTGGGCCATGGGTTCAAAGACAGTGAAGACCTCTCCCAAGCCCCAGCCTCGGGAAGGAGGCACATGGAAAGTCATGCGAGGTGATGTGTGGAGTCTAATAGCAGAGGTGCTGTCTGGGGAAGAGAGGAAGCTGGGTATTGATCAGAGAAAGCTCTGTGGGACAAGATGTCTACCCCAGATGTTGACAGGTGACCGGGAAGCCCCCAGGGTGGTCTTAAAGGTGTCGGGATGGGAATATGCAAAGGCCCTGACGAGGACCCTGCTGCAGGCCACGGTTTGAGAAGGGACACACAGCAACGATGGGGGCTGAATCATGAAGCTTGGGCTCTGTGTTAGGTAGGTCGGCCGCCATAACAAAACACCATGACCGGGGGCTTCAGCAACAGAAGTGTGTTGTCTCTCAGTTCTGGACATCAGAGATCAAGGTACTGGCTGAGGCAGCAGATAAGGTCCCTGTTCATGGCTTGTGGATGGCCACCTTCTTCCTGTGTCCTCACACTGCAGGGAATGGGCGCGAGCAAGCTCTGTAGAGTCTCTCTTAATGGGACCCTAACCCTTCTTGAGGGCCCCGCCCTCAGAACCTCATCCAACCCTAGCTTCCTCCCAAAGGCCCCACCTCCAGTCACCAGCACATTGGGGTTTAGGGTGTCAACATAGGAACTGGGGGGAGACACAAAAATTCAATCTTAATAAAAACCTAATTTTTCTTAAAGCTTTTGTTTACAAATCTTATCAACCTATTTATAAATAAATTCCAATTTTAATGAACATTGCTAAACTTAAAAAGTCAATTTTATTGGACATGCATTTCTTAGTGAAATGTATTGGAACTTTTTTTTTCAGTTCCTATATCCATGGATGCATATTAAGGCTAGAAGGGGTTCAATGAAAATTAACAGCAAAAAAAAAGAGAGTCTAGACCATTGTAATCGCGTCTCAAATTTCTGTAATCCCGCA